AATTGTTACTGTCTTGCGTCAGCAGCATTTAGCGCCCGCGGCGTGGAAAAGAGGGTTCCGGGCAGTCCACCGCGAACACGTACTCGGATAAGCAGCCCACGTTGCCTGCGAGGTCTATCACGGGTATGATAATACAACTATGGTCCCTATCCTACTCGTGCTAACAGGGCTAGTTGATAAAAGAGTTCGGTCACAGTCTCCGTATTCAACCAACAACACCCTTCGTTCATCCACGTCCGCGCTACCAATTCCTTACGAGACGAGCAACCCAAACACCCTTGAAACAGGATTTCCCGGGGCTAGCCCTTGACGACCGGCTGCTCCGGCGCCTATTGAGCCTCACATGGAGCCAGATCTATGGCGGAAGGCAATAGCCACACTCGATGACAAGGAACGGATTGAGCTGACGAGAGGCAATGCTTTGATGACTGTACCCGAGGTAGTAGATGAAATGATCATCCTTGCTACGAAACGGCGACAGCAATGTGAAAAGAGCCGATGGAAGACATTTCGTTTTCATGGCTCCGAGATCTCGCTTAGCGATACAGCTACCAAGATTATCATCTGGCTCAACAAGTTCAAGGAGATTGGAGACATAATTGTGCAGTACGACCCCGTACATGCTGCCCTACCTTGGGCCATCGTAAGATTCGTTCTCCAGGCTACGATTGTCACAAAGGAACAGATGGCTGCGTCCCTTGCGATTATAGAAAGAGTCACTGGTATCATCCACAGATGCCAAATATTCCAGACGTTATACAATCGCAACACAATAGACCAGGCCGTGGTCCAAAATCTCGAGTCAGCGTTGGTCAAGCTATACACTTCGGTTCTCCGAGCGCTACTCGAAGTTAATAAATTTCTTTCAATGCCCGCTTATACTCAATCTCTCTACGCCATCTTTCACCCGGGAATGGGTTCTAGCCACCTTGATAGCCTCAAGCAGGGAGAAACTGAAGTTGACCGAGAAATTAAAGCTTGTGAGGGTCAACGTAGGTCGAACACAGATGTAAGATTTGAGAAGCATCTACGCGGCCTATTGAATCTTACGGCGCCAATTCTCCATATCGATGAAAGTGTGAAACAGGTGCTTCAGAAGCTAGATCGTGGAGAGTTGATCCAGGTCCTCCAGTGGATTTCTCCCATCGAATATACAAGGCACCATAACACAGTAAGAGAGCTGAGAACGAAAAGTACATGCGACTGGCTGCTTCAACGCCCCAAGTTTATACAATGGAGCAGCACAACTTCATCTATAACACTGTGGCTCCGAGGCTTTCGTGAGTAAAGCGCCCCCTGCGATTCATGCTTTTCTAATGACATTAGCCGGTGCGGGGAAAACCCATCTCGCCTCGAAAGTTATCGAGAAGACTCAAGCTACTCTTGAAGGAACTGAAAACGATGAAGGCTTTGCGTTCTTCTATTGCAATCGGAACGAAGAGAATCGTAGGAATGCCTTGGATATTCTCCGGAGCTACGTCAGACAATTATCTACTCCTCTTCATCGGTCAGGTCTCATTTACTCTGAATTAAAGCACCGGTATGGTGATTCCCAATTATGTGGCTCTGGATGGACACTCGGTTCGTGTCAAGACTATCTAATCAGACTCTTGAATCTGTACCCCCGCGCCGCACTCATTCTGGACGCACTCGACGAGTGCCACCCCGAAGAACGAACAAGACTCCTTGACTTCTTCGATTCTATCCCGAGCAAGTCTTCAAAACCGGTGAGAATATTCATATCAAGCCGCCCCGAAGGTGACATCCACCAGCGTCTTGTCCACCTCCCGAGCATTGAAATCCAAGCAACCGACAACGAAGATGATATCGCCAAGTTCGTGCTACAAAGCATCGAAAGAAATGGGCGATGGAACGATACTCTTCGAAAAGACCAACTCCTCAAGAATGAAATCATTCAAACTTTGCTAGATAAGAGCAACGGAATGTTTCAATGGGCCAATTTGCAGATTAAACAACTGCTCGATCTACGAACGAAACATCAGATTCGTGAGCGTCTAGGGAAGCTGCCCAAAGATCTTGAAGCTGCCTACGATCAAATCTATGAAAGAATTGAAGGCTTAGACATGAATTCCAAAGCATTGTCTCTAAGAGCCCTCAAATGGATCACTTGCGCCTATAAACCACTTAACAATGAGGAACTTCTGGCAGCTGTCCATGTGGACCCAGAAGAGGGATTACCTAAATCTCTCGACACGACGGAGGCTGATCTTCTTGATTGGTGCGCAAACTTAATTCGGGTTGATTCTCAGCAAGACCCTCCTGTGTGGCGAGTCTCTCATCTATCAGTCGTCGAGTATCTTGAAAACCGTTGGACAATGCTCGACGCCCATTGCTTCGTCGCCAAGGCCAGCTTGGCGTTTCTACAAGAAACATACGGGGACGAACATAGAAACTTTTTGCGGCCCACTGGTATCTTTCATCCTGGTCACCAACTTCAAATCTACGTGAGACATTATTGGATAAGTCATGTACAAACCCAAGAACATCAAACTGCGGACCCTAAGCTAGCAACTCTTCTAAAAGCTTTTCTTGGGTCTCCGGGACAATCTAGCGTGCAGTACCGCCGATGGCATAGAGCGCTTGACTATAAGATTATGGCGTCTAATGGCTCTGACTTTGTTCCGGTCGACGAGATCTCTCCCAATAGCTCCTCTGCCTTCTTAGCATGTCGCTTTTCGTTTTACAACCTTCTGCGCGATTGGTGGGACACAGAGAGCCTTAACTCGTCACAACTAACATATAGTGGAGATAGTCTTCTTAGTCTCGCTGTTGTCGGAGAGCAAATGCCTCTATGTATCACATTATGTGAAGCAGGGATACAAGTCAATGCGCCACTCCGGAACAGGAAGTATAGCAGCGCTCTTGAAGCAGCTGTATTTCGTGAGAATATTGATATGGTGAAGGCTTTAATTGAAAAGGGGGCTGATATCAATATGCCGTTCCGGGACCTGCTGTTCCGGGAAGAGGACTACAGCAACGTCTTTATAGCCGCAATATGCCGGGGGAAGCTTGAGATTGCGCAGCTTTTAATCGATAAAGGGGCCGATGTTAATATGTCGCCGCAAACGGGGAACTACGGTAGTGCCCTTGTGGCCGCTATACACTGCCGGAATCTCGAAAGTATACAGCTTTTAATCGATAAAGGGGCTGATGTTAATATGACCCTACAGAGGGGATACTGCGGTAGTGCCCTTATAGCCGCTGCATACCACGAAAATCTTGAAATTACACGGCTTTTAATTGATAAAGGGGCTGATGTTAATATATCGCCGCAAACAGGGAACTACGGTAGTGCCCTTGTAGCCGCTGTACGCTGCCGGAATCTCGAAACTATACAGCTTTTGATCGATAAAGGGGCTGATGTTAATATGGCCTTACAGAGGGGATACTACGGTAGTGCCCTTATAGCCGCTGCATACCACGGGAATTTTGAAATTACACAGCTTTTAATTAATAAAGGGGCTGATGTTAATATATTGCCGCAAACAGGGAACTACGGTAGTGCCCTTGTGGCTGCTGTACGCTGCCAGAATCTCGAAACTATACAGCTTTTGATCGATAAAGGGGCTGATGTTAATATGGCCTTACAGAGGGGATACTACGGTAGTGCCCTTGTGGCCGCTGCATACCACGGGAATCTTGAACTTACACAGCTTTTAATTGATAAAGGGGCTGATGTTAATATGTTGCTGCAGACGGGAGACTGTGGTAGTGCCCTTGTGGCTGCTGCATACATGGGGAGGATGGAGATTGTGGAATTGCTAGTTGAAAACAACGCCAACATTACTGTTCATCTACAGCAAGGGCTGTATCGGAATGCTTTGGATGCTGCTCGGACGAGCAAAAAAAGGAAGAATGGTTTTTTTTCGCATTTGGAGGAAGAGTTAAAGCGATTATCTGAGCGCAAATCCCAAGTGGCCTGTTTTCTGGAGAGTAGGATACTATAGAAGGCAGGAATTCAGAAAATTAAAGGGGACTAGAGACATATTTGCAAATTCCAGCGTACCTCTCCTACCACAAGGAACGCGGGAGTCATTCCTGAGACATCTAGAGCGAAGTGCCAGCATTAAAGAAAAGATACCAAGTTGCTACAAGCCTTTTACTACCCGACTAGTACTTGATATAATTACTTCTAAATTCCGCTGCTATTGTACCGAGCATGACTTTGTAGATTAGAAAGTTCCAGACTTGAAAGACCACCATCATTTGTATCTTAAGCGCCCTATATAGCTTCACCAAACCGTCGAAAATTGCATGAAGCCACGTCAATGAATTGTCAAGAAACTCCTCCATCACCTCTCATATGCCCGTATGTTTGTCCGCACATGCCCCCGAGGATTGCTAGTAATGCACTGCATAGCGATAAGTAGTAGAGTTAAACAACCTAGACGTGCTATAAAAAATTACTACCTACGTGCTCTACTTATGTGCTTTATTTATGTGCTCTATATACTTATTCGACTGCTATTTTTAATAGTCTGGCTTTTGCTTTAGCTAGCTTTTTTATAACGCGATTTTTTTTATAGTTATGTTTAGTATATTTGCAGAAATTGCGTTATAAAAGGGCCGGCCAAAGCGAAAGCTAGACCGTAAGGAACGGCGGCCTCCTAGGTAGGTATGTAGTGATTTCGTGGCGCGTTTAGGTGGACAGCGATATGTGGGGATTTCCCTAAAAGGGTTTAAGTTCCTGTCCCGATAGCAGTTCTTCATGTTCAAAAATCCGACCTAATGCGCGGGCGATGAAGGCCGGAGTATTATATCGCCATATCCGAATTTAACCCTACCCATCAAAGAGCCAAATGCACAACCCACGTATCGCTTCCTACGCAACCTTACTTACCCACCATGCCCAGCCTATTTATTCCCTAGGTACCAGCCAAAGAAAAAGAAAAAGAAAAAGAAAAAGAAAAAGAAAAAGAAAAAGAAAAAGAAAAAGAAAAAGAAAAAGAAAAAGAAAAAGAAAAAGAAAAAGAATTCCATGGACGAACGGGGATTTGAACCCCAGACCCTTCGCAAGCAAGCACTATCTCAGCTACGAAATGAATCCCAGCCATAAATGCAAAGCGAATATCATACCCCTAGACCATTCGCCCAATATCATGTTATACAATTCCGGCAATAATAATTCATTACACAAACCGCTCTCCCGACACAACGAACGCTACAGATTGCTTGAATCGTTGCTCCTCTCGCTGCCTTTTTTCCATAGGGTCGACGATGTGAATACAGCATATATGCTTCATGCCATATCGGACTTGCTTGCACTTCCATTATTTACCACAAGTGGTCAGGGAAGATAATTTTCCCAGCTCGTACGAAAAGTCGGCCTCAATATTCACTCGACCTCTTCTATCTGTCTAGACTAGACGATTTGACAATATAAAGAAAACCAATAAAATTCATCCCTGGCCATGCGACGAAAACTTCAAAGGCAGACGTAGGTAGATTGCACATGCTAAAAAGTATAATCTATTTTATTTAATTATATACATACGACTTGCATTAGTGCAGCGGTATGAGATAGCTGGTACTAAATATATATCGCCCATTGCCCATGCAGCAGACAGTTAAGCAAACAACCGACCATTACGCCAGGATATAACCGGTACAAATATAATACAAGAATAATATAAACAGGTATTATACACAATCTTATTCTATCCTCCATCAAATCTGTATCTTGGTTAGATACACACTCACATCATCCCCTGAAAGCCGCCCAGCTGCGTGACAGAGGAACCGGCAGCGCCACGACGATTACCAGAACCGCCATAGCTCCTGCGCCAGTTTTCGACACCCGCAGGTTGCGGAATAGCCGTATCAGCGTACTCCTCATGAAACTCAGTCCCAAGCGGACTCCAGGCTGAGCTGGACATTGATGTCACGCTGTATCTGTCCTGCGCAGAGCTGGAAGCGCGTGACTTAAACGTCATACTATGTCTGTCATATACGGAACCAGAAACCGACGACACACTCTCTCTATCATAAACAGAGCTAGGAGGGCGTGGAGGGCGCGTGGATTGGGCGGGGTGTGTTGGCGCTGGTGCTAGGGTTGTGTGGTGACTAGGCTGACTATGGCGACGTTTGCGGCCATGGTGAGAGGTGGTCGACGACTCGCCCTTCTTCGTCTTGAAGCGTTCCGTGAGAAACGCTTGGCGATGCGCCGAAAAGCCGGAGTCGACGTCCGAGCCAGGAGGGAAAACTTTCCGGTTCGGGCCCGGATTATCTCGTGCCGTTGGGGGATAGTGACGACCATGTGGAGGAGCGGGCCAGTTCAGTGGTGTGTCCTTGTCCTTCTTCGACGACGATTCAGGGTCCTTGGGGCTAGTTTTACTTGTTTTTTGGTCCGTGGGCGCGCGCGAACCAATTATCGACTGTTGATTATTTCGGACTGTCGAGCTCGTCTTAGTTCTGCTCGCTGATAGACGCGAAGAAGCTCCGGGTGTCTTATTACCGACACCTAACGAGTCTCCCCGATGTTTGTTCATTGATGGTATGTTGGGCACAGGTGGCACATTTCTGGTACCGGGCTGGATGGTGCTCGCATTTATTGTGTGAACTGTACAGTCAGTCCACGCACTCACGGTCGTTCCGCGATCTCCGGAGGTCCTGGGTGGTGAATCATGACCCTTCTGGACATGAAGCGGGTCAGGGAGAGCAGACTCGGCGACACAACTACCGCCAGGACGGAAGGCAGGGTGTACCATTGACACCACGGATTTCGTATCGTCCCGCCCGGGGTCTATTCCAGACTCGCGTAATGTGTTCGCCCACCATTCTTGAACTTTAACCCAGCTCCTGTCTTCCTCCTCGTAATCCCTTTCATCGTCCTCCTGTTCTTCTTCGAAGTCGTAGCGACCAGGCTGGTCGTTGAGGGACAAGTCTTGCTCGAACTGATTGAGGAAGGATTGGGTAGGTAAACCATTGCTAGTCCCACTTTCTCGGGCGGGCTCAGGGGCCGGAGGGCGAAGGATATTGCTGGTTGGGATGCGGTTAACAGCCTGTTGTCGCTCATGCACTTCAGAATATCCTGAAAGACTATCGGGTCGATAAATGCTCCTAGCTCTGCTCGTGTACATGGCGGACCGTCTCTGATTTGTAGCGGTTTCGAGGTCAGCCAAAGCCACAGGAATCCCATCTCTTGTTTGCCTCCTACGACTAGTACTAGCAGGTATAGGTGTGATTTTGGCTCCCGTTTTAGTTCTCCTAAGCTCGGCATATACAGAGCGTTTCGCAGCTCGTAGCCTGGAATGTCGTTGCTTCAGTTCGGCCCGCCAGGCGTCGATTTGAGGCTTGGCCATCCTCAATTCATCTACGATAGCGTCACTCAAAGCTCTGCATTCTTCGGGTCGGCTTACTTCTTCGCAGTGCTTTCGGAGGTGGTCGATCCAAGCTTCCACAACGCGGTATAGACGAGGTTCCTTCACCGAAGGTTTTGCCGTCCGTCGTTCCATGCGATCTATGAGAGATGCCCGAAGATCCGCCAGGGCTCGGCCACTGGCACCGATAGCTGCAAGACAGCATGCTTCACAGGTAGATTTTACGAAGACGTGGTGGCCGTCGAAAGGGGCGAGGCCGTAAATCTCGTGAAAAAGCTGCGGTTCAGTCCACAATGCTGCGATCGAGTCCAGTCGACCGACAAAGGCAGAAAGCTCGGGCGCTGAAGTTCTGCCCGGCCATGAACGCAAGGCATCTGTGTGAACCGTGACTTCATACGCGACAGCGACAAAAAGTCTCCGAATTAAGAAAGGATTGAGATCAGAATGCGTTTTACAGAGTATGGCTCGTGGGTCCACAATATTCGGGTCAATGCTATCAGCGATCTTGGTTGCTAGACGTTTGAAGATATTTGACGATCTTAATAATTCTTTAGGGAGATGTCTCATTTTCTCTTCCTGCCTTTGCAGCCATCGTCTAGAAGGTATAGCAATTCCGTACTCGGGACGTCTTGCAAGTACCTTGGTGATGCGGACGACGAGTTCGTCTGACAAGTCTCGGATGCCGATGCTCATGAAGGGATACACGTAAGACAATGGAAGGTTTCGTAACAAGTGGTCTGAGTCAACTGGTTTGCTTCATAAGTAGCAATGGGATGGATTTAGGCTGGTAAATCAATTTTATGTAGGCAGTTCTGCTTGGATTAAGCTGTCAATTGAAACTGGTAACGTGTGGAATGGGCTCGTATTGTGCCTGTCATATACTTCACTTAGGCTGGAACAGCCAGACAATGGCCATCGTGACAAAGACATTGAATTCTTTGTGGCATTCTATGGACACCACAACAGTGGGCGAGGGTTCTTTGTCCGAACGTTGTACATGATGTAGTCGCTTCGTTCGAGAAACCCATACGTTGTTGTCGATAGTCGTCGACGTCGATGCCAAGCCCGAGAACTCAAGAGAATGCCGGGCCGACACGGAATCTGCTCAACGGAAGTAGCACAGGTCCGACCTCAAAGAGAAATGTACTTACTAGATGAAACTACCGAGTAGTGTTCCCTTCGACTGTCAGTACCTGCTTTCTAGGCTTGACCAAGTCCTCAGCAAAGACACAATGAAGCACGAGTGTCCATCCAGCATGTGTCGATCCATGTACCAGTAACGACAATATTGCCTGGGGCAAAGTATATATTCAGACGGCCTTATACGTCAATGCCCTTTCATCTTGAAGGTCCTTTGGCAAATTTCTCTATGGAAAGTGACTGCATGTCTTCGATACAACCGCCTAATGCTAGTCAAAACGCCGTTCGGGTACTACCCTGCATGCACGCTGATAAAAGAGTATGGTCATCATAACCGCAACATATGTATCATAAACCCTGGGTCCCGGTGAAGTGTACATGTTTCCTTGCTGATACCCACGTCGTTGAAGTTTTGTAGTTCCGCTACACTGCGACTGGAACTCGGGATGTATGGTAATCGCTATCTCTCATACGTTCTAGCCGTATTTTTAAAGCCTCGGTCCCATCATCAGGAATAGCATTTTCACGAAACCACGGATGTGCCAAAGCCTGGCGAGCAGTGATTCGTTTAGCGGGATCATAGACGAAGATTTTCTGTAGGAGATCCAAGAACATCCGAAGAAAAGGACTGGTCGCCGGGATGATATCCTAATGTCTCGTTAGAAGGAGCTTGGACCCGATATCCTATGGACTTACACTTAGACGCTTCATGTTCCTAACAAATCGTCTCGAGGTTCTCGTGGTCTCGGTCGTGGGGTAATCTAATTTCAAGCGTTTGAAATACCTAGCTTCGCATTAGAAATCCAGTCTTGCCTCATGAACAACGTGAAACATACTTGGCAGGGGAATTGCTATTGCTACGTGACGCCGATTTGTTCACCATCTGTACAAGATGGGAGTCGATTCGGCTGTCACATACGTTCTCCATCATGGCAAGATGCTCCAGGTTATCGTGCGTCTGGAACAGGGCGTCCCCAGTGAAGAACTCGACCAGTATACATCCTATACTCCAAATGTCACACGGGAAGGACCAGCCAAGGCCAAGTATGATCTCAGGCGCACGATAATGCCGCGTGGAGACAACAGATGAATGATATTCATCATCGAACGTGGCTGATCCAAAATCTATCAGACGGATCTCAGTGTCGAGAAGGACTTTCCGTTGCGTGGCCTGCCGGTTCGTTCCATTGGTAGATGACGGTATCCGCCGGTTATAAGTGAAGGTCTGATAGGCGCTGTCACAAAGGAGGATGTTCTCGGGTTTAAGATCAGTGTGTATGAGGTTTAGGTCATGGAGGACTATGTGGGATACGTCAGCGCACGATACTTTCGGCTTGCTGGAGGGTACTCACAGGCGACGCTTGTTAATAACTGGCGGGCAAAACTCTGTATTTGACTGTTAGGGAAAGGAACAAAATTATTGCCTTTCAGAAAATCAAACACGCTGGAGCCGAGCAGGTCCATTACTATGCAGATGTGACCGCGGAAGTCGAAACAGTCTCGTAGATGAATGCACCGGTTCCGATTTTCTTCGTCGTTTGCTTTCAGAGTTTGGAGCACCCGGAGCTCGATCCTCGAAGCATCCCGATATTTCTGTACTGCTCGGATGATCTTGATCGCAACGAGCTTATTTC